CATTTTTATGGTACATACGTGAATAGGAATACCCTTAGACAGGAATAATGTTTTTGTTCCCAACGCGATGACTACCGAAGGGATCGTCTGTACTACAACAAGAAACCATGGTACCAATAAAATAAGTCGGACTACCAGATTACAAATTTGTTTAACTTTGTCGAAAAACTTTCCGTCATGCTTGGTTGGGACCAGATATCATTCCAGGTGAAAACAAGTTCTTTTGCACTTTTTGCGCAACGAGCCATACAATAACAGAGAACGCAACCGAAAGGGCGACGACGCAGGTAACATTTGTATAGATATAATCCGCCACAGGTATCGATATTCACAGCCATCACAGTACCGTGTCACTTATTGACAGTTCATGATTTTATGATTATTACTGGATACAAATAGAGGGCCATACCTTCCCTCGAAAATAAAACACCAATCGGATCCCCCCTTAACTCTAAAAAAATTCATTAAATTTTGAGCAAAACGATGAATGCCAAATAAGTAAATGACTCAAATATTATTGAATTTAAAAAAAAATACTCATCGTATTCCTCCGCTTTCAAAACGGATTTTCTTTAATTGGATATTTTGGATTCATTCTTTTGGGGATGCCCACTGCGCTACGTTTACGGTGTTTTGGACCTACGTCACCGTCTTATCTCTTTGGATCAATCTCATTGTCGCAGCCAGCACTCTTGGGCGCTCCTTTTACTAATGCCGGCACCAACACCTTGATGTTGTCGTCAAACCACTTTATTCCACAAGCTACGTAGCTCATCGTAACGCGCACACATCCAGGATCCTCCTACTATAGTAGAGCGTCGTTCGTATCAGGATCGATCGGCAGATCGTCGACTTGCACTAACTGACGGTACTGTGTCAGGAAGATGACGCACTACACCCCAGCACACAAACCACGACTCAACTGAAACCAGCATACTTATCCACAGAGGCTGCTACGTCCAACTTCACGGCGTACTCAGCTAACGACGTCCCGGAAATACTGTACTACGCACTGGTGTTGATCTTAGACATGCTCCATCTCACCGCGTATCTCCATTGCTGAAGTTTGGAGTAAGTCAGTTGTCGATGTCTGAACCGCTCTCTCCCTTGCCCTCACGTACCTGCCGCACTTCTCCTGTCTCCCCAACAGTCACCAGCTACACGT